AGTAATAAATATATATTATTACATTATAAATTATTATATATAAATGCATAGGATAGCATTTTATATATATATAGATATAGATTTAGTTCAATTAATAGTAATAAATGATCAGGAAACTAAAAATATTAATCACAATAAAACAACTCCACGCTGCTATGGGATTTATGTCATCACGGGAAAAGGCCAACGCGTACCAACTTTACACTTACGGATTTAGGTGGGATTATCTTTGATTTCTCTACTTGAAAACATTGAAAGCCTTAACCCACAAAAGAAGTCCAGCAGGCTGTTTTTTTTTTTTTTAAGATTTGTTTCATTTGTATCTTCAAAACATAAGTTAAAAAAGTATTAATTGTAATTTTTAATTAATTTATTTATAAATAAAAATTAATTTTAAATTTATCAATTACTTAATTAAAATTATGTAAGTAATATTAATATTAAAAATAATGTCTTATTTTTATATTTTTTATAAAAATTTATTACAAAATAACAGATTTAATATATTTTAAAAATATAGTTTAGGCAAATCTTTTAATTTTCTGTGTCCAGTGCTAGTTGACGAAAGCGATAAACTAAATCAACTGCAAAGTCAACAGATCTTCATCCACCTTTTTCTTTGATTTATTCAATCCAATATGTACAGCCATGTTCCGCGGAAAATCCAAGGCTTCCGATGGCGAGTGCTCCCGCTTCCGACCCTCCCCCTTCAGTGGAAGAAAACGACTCCTTAGAACGCAGTACTAAGCGAGTGAAGGACGATAATCCCCCTCCCCCCACCCCCCTATCGAGTGCTGACCCCCTTGCCCCGGCGGTTGCTTCTGTTACACCAAAAAGTTTCAGAGACACGTTGCTTGATGGACGTTCTGAATTCACCCCCTCCTTCACCACACTGGAGGAGCTTATGGTTGCAGGGAATACAGTTCAGACGGAAACTCTAATGGCAGCCGATGATGCTACTGGGATCCCTAAAAAATCTATTCCCAAAGCATTTATTCCAAAGAGTATATGGCAGAAATTCTGTGCACCATGGAAGAACTCCTTAATTATAAAATTACTGGGGAAATCGATTAGTTATAATTTGTTGTGTACTCGATTATCTCGTGAATGGGGATTGGAGGGTGAATTTGACATTATTGATATTGGCAATGGTTATTATGTTGCTAAACTTTCCTCGGCAGAGGACTGTTCTAGAATCCTCACAGGAGGTCCCTATAAATTCTTTGATCATTATCTTGCTGTCCAACCTTGGAAGCCAAATTTCCAGTCTTCAAGAGAAAAGTTGCCTAAAACTGCAGTTTGGGTCCATCTTTATGGAGTGCCAATTGAATGTTTTAATGAACCTGCGGTTTTGTATTTGGGTAACAAGATTGGTAGAGCTATTAAGGCTGATCGGACGACTCTTCTCGCTGCCAGAGGTGAATTCGCACGAGTTTGTGTGGAGGTTGATTTAAATGAATCCTTGCCATCTATGATTGACTTGGATTTAGAGGAGCTTCCTCAATCTTTAATTCTTGTTAAATATGAAGGGCTTCACAAGATTTGTTTTGAGTGTGGTGAATTTGGCCATAAGAAAGAAAGCTGCCATTACAAGATGCAGCAGCAGCAACCACAACCGCAACCGGCGACAGCAAAAGGTGTGGCAGTTGCCCACGCAAACTCCAGGGCGACTTCCTCGGTGGAGAATATGCAAATCCCGAATTCAGTGGATAACTGTATGACGTATGGCTCATGGATGGTAGCTAAGCGCAAGTCACGGAAGGTGGCAAGTAAACTGGGGTCTCCAATTGATAACACTTCTTCTATGGGAAGGAATCCTAACCAAATTGGTAAGGTTCCTCATTCTAATGATTCACCCAAGCCGAGAAATAAGGAATGGGAGGCGACTGTTAGCAACAGATTTGGTACCATTGCTAACGAGGAGGAATCTTCGGGTGAGATCGCAAAACTAACGGGAATTACATCTAGTGATGATCCTGCAACTAAGGAAAGTGGATCTGGACAGTCTGATATGGAATTAGGCCCTGGTTTGGTTAATGGACCTCAGCTTGTTGTTGTTGAGCCCATTAATAGTGGGGATGTGAGCATTCAGGCCCGCAATAGAACAGGACGACGGAAAGACAAAAATCAAAAGACATTGGGGCCGATCGCCAAAAACTCTAAGGCCAGATCTAAGCCTTTGGATCCAAGCATGATAAAGAGATCTTTAAAAGAGGATTCACGAAAGTTGGCCGGGGTTGCTGCTGCTCCCTCTTCTTCCCTTTGTCAACCTGCTCAGCTACTTGCTGGTTCTGGTGTTAATTCAGTTACTAGTAGCGTGGGTATACCTAGTTTGGCCCTAGTTCCACCTACTTTTTCGGGTGAAGCACATGAGCATGGTTTGGGGAACATTGTGGCGCTGAAATTAAATACAATACAACATCAGAATGGAGTAGCTAACTCAGTTATGGTTTCTAACCAAGGTGCTGAGCCTGTAGCGGCTGTGGCACCACATGTTACTTGTTCTACTCTTTCTTCCCCATGAAAGTCATATCTTGGAATAGTCGAGGGGTTCTTTATAGACCCTTTAAGAGAGAGGTGAAAGAATTACTCTGCTCTCATAAACCAGATGTTATCTGTTTTATGGAGACTAAGGCTGAGTTTGGTTCAAGGGCTTTACATTTCATGCGTCGTTATGGTTATACCTTTCAATTTCAAGTTCCAGCTTCAGGCTTTGCGGGTGGTTTATGGCTTTTTTGGAAAGGTACTGTTCACCTTTCTGTAGTTTTTTCTACAAACCAAGCAATTCACTGTTCAGTCTTGCTCCGGGGAAGTAGTTTTTTCCTAACTTTTGGCTATGTCCGGCCGCAAGAATCCTTTAAAGAAGAGTTTTGGAGACACTTGCAAGATTGGAAGGCTTCTCATGCTGGAGCTTGGGTTCTCATGGGAGACTTGAATGATGTGGCTTCCATAGAAGAGGTCTCTCCTCGATCTACTGCCATTGTTAATAGGACCCGACGTTTTCAAAGTCGTTTGGAGGGTTGTGGTTTAATGAATATGGATACATTGGGGTGTAAATATACATGGTGTCGAATGAGAAATGAAAGGCCTGTTTTACGGGAACGCTTAGATCGTGTCTTGCTTAACTCTGATTCCCAACTATTGCTGCAGGGAGCCAAAGCTTTTAATTTGCCAAGAACTTGTAGTGATCATCACCCCATCATGTTCGATACGGACACAGCAGCCTCTTATCTTCCAGTTAATAAACCCACTAGATTTGAGGCTGCATGGCTATCTAGAGAAGAGTTTAGTAACATATTTAATGTTGCTTGGTCTCAGCACTCAAGTGATCTGCCTATAGCGATTAGTAACACAAGAGAGGCTTGTATTTCATGGAGCAAAGCAACCTTTGGTGATATTTTTCGTAAGAAGCGTTTATTGAAAGCACGAATTGCTGGCATCCAAAATTCACAGAATTATCTTTCTTCCTCCAGACTGCAGTGTTTGGAAAAGTCTCTTTTGGAAGACTATCAACAAGTTTTATATGAAGAAGAGTTATTCTGGTTTCAAAAATCCAGAGTAGATTGGATAGCTTCCGGGGATCGGAATACATCTTTTTATCATGTCGCTACTATGGTTCGACGAAATAAGAACAATATAGGAGCCTTAAAAATTGATGGCGAATGGTGTATGGAGGTGGATGGGTTAAAGTCTCATGTTCGAAGTTACTTTGAAGGGCTCTTTGCTCGAAGGGAGACTTTTCCTCTCCTAGAAAATCTTTCAAATTTCCAGCCTTCTATTTCTGTTGAAGACCATCTATCACTCACCCAACCAGCCACTCTAGAGGAGGTCCGAAAGGCTTTGTTTTCGATGAAAGGACTCAAAAGTCCTGGACCTGATGGGATACCTGCCTTATTTTACCAACGGCACTGGGATACAGTTGCTGCAACCTTTCTTGAATTTGTGAACCAAGCACTATTAAATGGGTCCTTTGATCCATCTTTAACCAAGGCTTTTGTAGTGTTGATTCCTAAGGAGGATTTACACGGTGCAAAAATTTAGACCGATTAGTCTCTTGAATGTGGCATATAAGGTTCTCTCTAAGCTTATTGTGAACCGTCTTCGTCCGCATCTTCAAAAACTGGTTGGTCCTTGGCAAAGTAGTTTCTTAGCAGGTCGAAGCACAGTTGATAATATCATTTTGACTCAGGAAGCTGTTCATTCTATGAGGCGCCTTAAAGGAGGTCGTGGGGCTATGGTACTCAAAATTGACTTGCATAAAGCTTTTGATAGTATTGATTAGGACTTTCTGCGCCAAGTTTTGTTGGATTTTAACATTCCTCTACAGCTGGTTGAGCTTATCATGTTCTCGGTAACCTCAGTTCAACTTAGTGTGTTATGGAATGGTGAGCCATTGTCTTTCTTCAGTCCACAGAGAGGAGTACGACAAGGTGACCCTTTATCTCCATATTTATTTATCTTGGTGATGGAAAAGCTGGCTCAAATGATTCAGAAAAGAGTAGATGAGAAGGTTTGGAAACCTTTTAAGTTGTCTCGAGGAGGTGTAGCTTTGTCCCATTTATTTTATGCGGACGACCTTATGCTATTTGCACAAGCTTCTGGAGCACAATTAGATGTCATCATGGATGTTTTGAATCAATTTTCCAATAGCTCAGGTTTAGTTTTGAATTTGCAGAAATCTAAACTATTTTTTTCTGCTAATATTCAATCGGCAGTGGCAAACTCCCTAAGTACTAGATGTGGCATCCCTCTGACTTCTAATCTGGGCTCTTACTTAGGCATTCCGATTATTCATGGGCGGCATTCATCTAAACACTATGAGTATATATTGGAGAATATGCAGAAGAAGTTAGCTAGCTGGAAGGGAGCTAATCTGAGTTTAGCTGGTCGCAAGGTTTTAGTTCAGTCCGTCACAGCTTCAATTCCAGCTTATACTATGCAGTCAATCTTGCTGCCAAATGCCACTTGTGATGCCATTGATCGTTTAAATAGAGACTTCTTATGGGGCTCTGATTCTAGAGTTAGAAAACCTCACCCAGTTAGTTGGGAGGTGGTTTGCTCTGAGAAAAAATATGGTGGGCTTGGATTAAGGTCTGCTTGGGATAATAACCAAGCTTTTATTGCTAAGCTTGGTTGGCGCATCCTAAAAGGAGACAACGCCTTGTGGTGTAGGGTGATGCAAGCTAAATATTTGCGTGGTAGAAATTTCATGGAGGCAGGCAACACGGTTGGGGCCTCTTTTATTTGGAGGGGAATTGTAAAATGTCGTTCAGTACTCCAACAGGGAGTGCGTTGGCGAATAGGCTCTGGAGAGAAGATACGTTTTTGGCAGGATGCTTGGGTAGGAGATGCCCCACTTATTAGCTCCAGTAATGAGCCTCCTGCTCTCCCTTCTTTGCTGGTATCGGAGACCATTAATTCAGACAGGGACTGGAATCTTGAACTCTTGCATGAATTAGTTCTAGCAGAGATAGTGGAGAAGATAAGAGCAATTCCACTATCTCGAAACTCACAGCTCGAAGATGGCATTTTCTGGGCCAATTCAATGGATGGTTTATTTACTGTCAAGTCTGCTTATCAGCTTTTACAAGCTCCAAGGAATTCTGCATACCACTCAACTGATTCATGGAATTGGATTTGGAAGTTACATTGTGCCGAGAGGATTCGAGTGTTTGTATGGCTCTTGGTGAGAGGGAGAGTACTAACAAATTCTGTGCGTTTTGCACGTCATATGGCTCCCTCACCTCTTTGTCCGAGATGTGAATCCTCAAATGAGACACCTATTCATTTGCTGCGAGACTGCTTTTATGCCAAAACCGTTTGGAGTTTGCTTGGTTTTGCAAGGTCTGAATTTTTTACTCTTGATTCCTTTTCTTGGCTCAAAAAATTTTCAACTATAACAAGAGCTTTCAAGCAGGCTGAGGTCTCCAGGGTGATATTGTTCTTATCTGCTATTTGGCTTATTTGGAAGGATCGCAATGCATTGGTCTTTCGGAACCATCGATCTCGACCGCAAGAGCTCTGTACTACAATCTGGCAGTATGCAAAATACACTGAGATAGCAATGAGCTCTTCTTCTCCAGTTAAGTCACGATTGCCCCGATGGGTACGTTGGATGCCGCCTATGGAAGGCTGGTACAAGCTTAACTCAGATGGGTCTTTCAATGTTACTAGCAATTCAGCAAGTGCAGGGGGTCTAATTAGAGATTTCTTAGGAAATTGGATCTCTGGTTTTGTGGTTAATGTTGGCTGTGCATCCATTTTTATAGCAGAATTATGGGGTCTTAGAGAGGGACTCAAGTTATGCAAATCACTTGGAATTACTCGTGTTGTGGCCGAGATGGATTCACTTGTGGCAGTCAGATCCATAATTGAGAAAAGAGAACCAGATAATTTGTCTGCGGCCATTTTAATGGATATTAGAAGCCTAATGTCTGAATTTGAGGAATGCATACTGCAACACGTTCTTCGGGAGGGGAATGCAGCTGCCGACTTCTTAGCGTCCCTTGGGCATTCTTCACCACCGGGTAGAAGTTTGTTGGATTCTCCACCGACTGGCTTGTGGCCAATCCTTACAGGGGACCAGCTGGGAGTTTCTTTCCTTCGTTTTTAGTTTCTCGTTTTAGTATACTTTAATTTCCTCTGATGTATCAAAAAAAAAAATAAAAAATTATTTTGTAGTATGAGAATGTCTTCATGACCTAATGGTTATCTTTCTTTTGTAAAAACCTTTTTATGCTAACTATG